GTGATCTTTCCAGCCCTGTTGATGGGACTTGGAGTTGGGCCTACCTCAGACTCTGAGTTCAGTCTCAGCATTGTCTTAAGGTGACCCATGCGAGTGGATCCATCATCCACAAGCTGCCTTTCTTCTCCTTTAATGCAGCCACTGTGGACTCCTATGAACAGAAACAGACACCCTCAGTGGCAGGGGCCCTGAGACAAAAGGCCATGAACACATGCTCTGGTGAGAACCTTGGTAGTGAAAAATGCTGTGCTTTGGTATCAGCAGAAGCTGGGTCAGAACCCTGTGCTGGGGCTGGGATGTAGCTCAGTGGTACAGCACTTGCCTAGCATGCCTGAGGCCCTGGCTTTGATCCCAGCACCAAAAAAGAAAAGACAAAAAAAAAAAACCCTCTCCCCAGAACCCTGTGCTGGTCACCTACAATGATAATATCCTGTCCTCTGGGATCCCTGACCAGTTCTCTGGCTCTTAATTGGGGAACATGACCACCCTGGAAATAAGTGGGAATGAGTCTGAGGATGAGGTTATTACTGTCAGGTGACAGACTGTAGTAATAAATCTCACATTTAAATAAGTGTTTACTTTATGTAAATCTCACATTTACATAAAGTGTTGAAGTGAGAGCAAAACTCTTTCCAAATACCTTTCAAATTCTTTCCCCAACCCAGGTGAACTGGAGACAAATTCATAAGCAAATAGTCCCAGCTCACTCAGATTAAAGCCCTAGGCTGCCCTTTCCTCTCAGTCTTCTGGGTAGGCACTACATGAAGTGGATGTGGGATGGAGTTAGGGATTATGAAGGATGATGAGTGATACCCACACAGCATGGCATCACCCATGGATTTACCACCATACTTTCCATCTGAGATCATAATTTGTGTAGCATTCTATGCACACAAATATCTTCATGACATATGAAAAATAAACTGAGCATGTATAGAAAGTTTTTCTGTAGTGAAAAAGAGAAATTTTTATTTCTTTACACCATCCCTACTATCTGAGTTCTACTTTCTTTCCAGCTGTCATAAGATTTCATGATGTCTGTTGCAGTTCCAATCATCACACCCGCATTTAAGATAGAAAATGCTATCAAAACTATTACGCTTGTTCCTTCTCAAATGAAGAAGTGCCCTGAGAAGAACTGTAATATACTGAGAACTTCACCCCATGAAACGGGGCTGGACTTCATCGTCAATCCTGGACTCTTGGTACCTAGGAAAACTGCCTTGATTTTCAGAACCAGACAGGTTAATGATCAGGGACACTTTTGAGCCTGTCTTCTGAGGCTGAAAAGTGAGTCTAAGTTCATGCCCCAACCCAGAAGGGGAGACATACCTGGGGGCATGGACTGCTTATACATCCTGAAATCCTCGGTACAGACCAGAACATATTTGATTAGCTGTTGGTGTGGATGGCCTGTCTGTGGCATTGGTTATATAGCCACTTTGCCCAGCAGCTGACACTAGTGAGAGCCAGGCTCAGAGTTTTGGGTCTCCCAGTGCTGATTCTGAGACCATGTTTATGACAGAAGAATACCCCAGAGAAAGCTGCAAGGATGTTAGGTTTCCCCCTAGACCTTCTTCTCTAGGTATTTTTCTTTTTCTGTGCCTTGATCTCTTCTTGCTTGTCCTGCATACAGACAGGGAACACACAGAGAAGAGCAGTACTCCCATGTACAAGACAAGAAATATCAGACTTAATAGAGGTTTTAAATCTGTTCCCAGACTAAGAAAGACTTGGAGGCTCCAGTAGCCAGATGGGAGTGGCCACCAGCATTCAGGAAAGTACACTGATAAAGTCATCATGGGATATGGTAGTCCTTGATATCAGGGAGAAAATACTATACAGTAAGGGCTTGTGACCACCACCTGAGACCTGGAGGAACAGCTGGCATTTTCCCACTGTGTTGTCATTTACATTCTTATACATATTCTTCTGTGTCTGTGTGTCTTAGGTCTGGGCATTTTATGTTTTCCCTGTTAAACTAGAAGATGTCCAGGGGCTTCTTTTCCATTGCGATCACTCCCTGTGATGTGTAAGTGTGTGATGTTGTCCTATGGGACCTTCACAGACTAGCTGAGCAAAAAAGGCACATAAACTGTGGTTTGTAATATGAGCTCACACCAAGGACACAGCGTTGCAACTCCTCACAAAATCTTTAAAGTTCTAATGGACACTTGGTTAGGGACCTATCTTATTCTCACCATACATCCCAAGATTAGTGAAAACCTAAAACATTATTAGAGGGAAATGTAAACAAAAGAAATTATAAAAAGAAATAATCAAATACTAAATGTTAAAAGAAAATAATGTATTTATATAAGAGTTTCCAAATTTTGTTGAATATATTGTTATAAAAGCACAAAATTTAAGTAATATTTCAAAATGTTTTTATTTACCAAATGCACTGAGATACATGGTAAAACACAGAAATATTTTCCTTAACTGACTTGTCTTTAATTTTCCATCTGTACAAGGTGTTTGGTATATGTTATTCCTTGTCTTACATATGTCAGGGTGAATAAGATGAAACTTTCCCCCAAAATACAAATGAATAAAATACATGTTTCCAACTTGTCTAAACATTTTAAATGTCTTGACTCATTTCTTTTGTGTTGGCATTGCAAGATAGTTCTTATTATAACTTGACTTTTACAAAAATGTTTATAACTTCTGTGAAATCCCATAAAGACCATATGGACAACTGAAAGCGTAAGGGGAAAGATGATAAAAGCAATCAATACCTTGATATATCTGGTCAATGTTAGTTTGATGTTTTGAACATTAGTCTGAGGAGAAGACTTCTTTTATGAAAGGAGTTCTTTTTATAGGCAGTTTTCTGCTGTGGCTCATTATGTCTTTGAATTTATAGATAATTACTGACCATATTTGATAGGGCATATTAGAAGGCAGTATAAAACATGGGGAGACATACCAATTATTTGGGGCCCTTGAGGTTTAATTAAATACAAGGACATTGATTGTTTTCAAGGCTGTGCAGTTTAGCCTTATTTCCCAAAGACAAATTGGAACTGCACATGCTTGGGTTATTTAGAACAAATAAATGCATACCCAAGGAGTCATGAACATTGTTAGATATGGGAGAAAAAAACCTAAAATTCAATTCTGCCTGTAGGAAGTTACAATTTATTTAGAGGGGGCACTCACTGCCTTAAGAAGGACATTGATGAATGAGGGCCTGTGAGTTTCATCACACCCTCCATTTACCTTTAAATGTACTATAAAACAGGATAGCAATAAGAGATTTCTTCTTGATAGTCATTAATTGGTAGTGAAAATTAAGAAAAGAATCTCTCCAGGGTTCGATTGAATACTATCACCCGGGTCCCCATGTCTCTTTAGCACCTAGGCTGTGAGTCCATCATCCTGGACCTTTATTAAGTATTTTAAATACATTTGCTAAGGTGAGTGAGAATTTAAATAAAGTATTAGTGAAACATGAATGTTAACAACACTGATGATTTCTGTGATATTAAGAAAATGCCACAATTAAAATGAGAGTTTCATTTTCCTTTGCATGTTTTATGGATTAAATGGAATTATTCACAAATATATGTGGGGAACTACTAGAGATACAAAAAAACCCACTAGGTCATCTGACTGTAGATGGAAGAGATGATCCAGGGCTATAAGATTCAAGAACATGGTTGATAGTGTATAGAGGTTTCTCCAAATGTATAAAGGATTAAAACTAAGAAGAATCTCTCTCCCTGGAGACCCTCAGACAGGCTCTGTTGAGATGTTCCTGGAAATGGGTTCCTTAGTGCAATCCTCCATAGCCCCTTCTCCCACATAATCAAACACTGCAGTTACCTGCTGTGTTTCTTGTGGAATTATTCAAATCTTGATTGAGCTTCTAGTCTTAATTCAATATTATTCATTAAAACATTTTGAAATGATTAAAATCTTTCCCTATTCCCATTTTTGTCATCCAGTCTTCATCCTCCTGTTGGGTTATTTAAGCTGTTACAGTATGTCTGTATTCAGATAAAAGGTGACTCTCTCATATCTGAAGAGGTGAGTGTCTATCCACTCACCCTGTGACAGCCTTTCTGTGACAAGCAGAAAGTCCAGATGTGGTGGATCTGAGTACATGTAGGTAAAAGCCACATTCCATCCTGTAGGAAGCAAGAGGCCAAAGGGAGAGGGGGTAAAGTGAAGATTAGAAGGAACCAGAGGTCTGACCTGAGATAGGATTGAAGAATGGGGGACAGGAGGAGAGCATAGAAGGCAGGTTCAGCTCTCACTTAACTACATGGGAGACTCTGAATGATGCCACCAGGAGGCAACATAGAGCTGTATTGGGAGAAGGTCATTGCTGTGGTTTCCATGGACTTTATGATCTCCCATAACTGCTTTGTCCTGAAATCTTCCAAAGAAGTGAAGGGAGGGAGTGCCCAAAATCTGTTGTGTTCCTATATATCATTTTCTGCAAAGTTCAATAAATCTCTACAGCTCTCAAACCTCAAGCCCCTGACTAATTGTTTCTATAGAGACCTGGTGACAGCATAGTGCAAGTAGGTGATCCTAACTAAAGGACTAGAAGGATATGATGGAGAAGAAGTCCTGTTCTACTTTTGATGTCTGGAAGGAAGAGTGGTTGGACCTCCATAGCATTCTCGGATCCTAACTCTAATCTCATACCCTAATCAGGGAAAGTTTAGTCCTAGAATATCATTATACGAAACCACCATGAATGACATAAAGGAAAGTTTGGCACATGTCAAGGTTGGTTAAATTTTCTGGAACTGTCATGGGTTCACTGTTCACTGACTCAGAAAAGTCATTCATACATTTTCATCCCCTTAGGTAAGATCAGCTGTGCAAAGATGCCGAAATGTCTACAGTCCATGGCAGATCAGAGTGGGGTTATGAGAGACAGGTGCAGAAAAGATTTGCATGGAGGCCCCTCCTTCTGTTCAGGCAGGGGAGGGGATAAGAGCAGTATGGGGGAGTCAGAGTCAGTTCATAGGTCTCAGGATGCAGTGCTCTTTGGGTGTCTCCAGCATGGCATGGCCTCTGCTCATCCTCACACTGCTCAGTGAAGGTGAGAATTCAGGGAAGGGAGCATTGGGTTATCTGGGCTGATGCTTTGTCTACTCCTCCTCAGGCTCTCATGGGCCCAGCAATGACTCACTAGAGTGTTTCTCCCTCTTTTCAGGTTCATGGGCTCAGTCAACCCTCACTCAGCCTCCCTCAGCTTCTGGATCTCTTGGCCAGACAGCTACCATTTCCTGTACTGGAACCAGCAATGATATTGGGAAGTACAATTATGTATCTTGGTACCAACAGCAACCAGGATTAAACCCCAAACTCCTGATTTACTACGTGAACAGTCGTCCCTCAGGGATTTCTGATCGTTTCTCTGGCTCCAAGTCTGGCAACACAGCCTCCCTGACCATCTCAGGGCTCGAGCCTGAGGATGAGGCTGATTATTACTGTGCTTCATATACAGCAAGTAACACTTTACACAGTAGTGAAAGTGGATGGGGAAGTTAAACTAAAACCTGCTTTGAACTCACAGCTTCCTTCTTGCTCTGAAGTTGCTTTCTCAGCCTGTGCAGAGTGGTGTTCATGCCATGTGACTCCGAAATTCATTTTCTCTAAATTCAGACCCTCTCATCTCCATCAACTAACTTCAAAAGAACCAAGTGTCCAGTAGATACATTGATGTCCCGACTGACTTTCCTGGTGGGTTTGTTGACACTTATGTTATTGGATTCTTGAGCTAGTTTCCAGTACACAGGGTTCTTCCCAGCACTGGATGAATGGACTTTTTAAATTCTTGGACTTTTGCATCCTTCTATGGCTTTCTGAACAGGCTTATTATCTCTTGGTTTCCTATTCAAATGTGCATGTTCTGCTGATGGACTAGGACCCCATGTGAACTTTTTGCCATTGGCTACCCTTTTACCATCTCCACTTTACTTTCTGGCACCCACATAAAATAAAGAAAATCTTTCATACATGCAGAATCAGAGACTGCAAGACCTGCTAGCCATGTGAGAGGAGGCTCCTGAATCAGGTTTTCAGGATAGGAGAGATATCTGTTCTCTCGGTGCTGGGGCAATTGCTGGGCTGTGTACTGCCAGTTAGCTTAACACTTGACCAACACTTCAATTTCTTAAGTTCAATTTTTATGATAATTTTTTCATGCTGAAATAATTTCTTTGTGAGTCACCATACTTGGTTCTAAGAGGTATATTTACAAAGGGAACAGTTAAGTCCTTGCCTTTATGGGGTCAAAATTTTTGTATGTGAAAAGGAATGGGTAAAGTGTGATAAATGAGTAAACAAATGAAATGTATCCTGAGAAGGTAAAAAAAGCCTGGTTCTGGTATATAATGGGGTAGTTGATCTGAGATGCATGTGGAAGTTCCTCTGGTGATTGACACTTCACCTTCTTCAACCTCCCTCACACTTCTCTTGTTCCTCTTCCCTTGACTTTGTTACCTTCTCTGCTTCTTCCACATTTCTAAACATTAAAGTTGGAGAACTGTTGGGATCCGGGTCTGATCAACTCAAACGTTTGCATGAATTAAAAAACAAACTTTAATATATCATCACTCACAAATTCACATCCACTGCCTAACTTTTCATATCAGATATTTCATGGTGTACTTGCAGGTTAGGATTTTCCTTGAATAACTTATAGGTGCTTCAATCTTGGAAAAATCTTGAATTGGCCAGAGTCATTGTTCTCTGGATTCTCCTTATTTCATTGAATTCATTACTATTGTTTTTCGTACACCTAGGAGTCACTCTCAATTGTTATCCGTTCTCCCTCTCCCTGACCATCAGAAAAATGCTGTGAGTTCTTCTTCCAGTGACTAGTCCCTGCTGACTCTACCCCAAAACTCCATCCAAGAGACTCCACAGTCATCTTTGGTCACCAAACATACTTCTAGGTGGCCCTCAAGTTAACAGTCACGAGAGTGAACTCTAAAATCATAAAATTAAGACACCTAACTACTTACTGAGACTCAATCTATCATAATAGCAATAAAATCTGAACCCTTCCCCCCTGCCCTGCAAGACCTTGTGTGTCCAGGTTGAATTGTGCCACCAAAAACAGGTTTTTCTTTGAGAGGTAAAATGAGGCCTCTCACTTCTGACCATTGTCCCCTTTGATTGGCATCAAAGTCTTAGCTTCCCTTAGCAGAAATTATGATGATCTCTCTAGTTTTGGAGCTGAATAGCTCAGCCTGTGGAATATGGCATACTCTGTGGCACACAAATGACTTCCATTATAGAAGGTCTGAGGCCTATGGAGATCTTGTTGATGAACTGGTTGATGATATCACTGGGCTAAATTCCCTTCTCAAGGAGCTGAAAGCTGTGGCCAGTATTACATGTGCACAGCCCTCTTCCTTCAAAGCCTTCATGTGTGCCTGGTAGTTGACTTTTGAAGACATCTTGGTATGCTGACGATAACATCATAAGCAGGGCTGGAGGTGTGGTTTCTCTGGCAGAGCACTTCCTAGCAACCATAGGGACTTACATTAACCCCAGAACCACCCCAAAACAAATGAATAAACAGACAACAAAAAACTCTTCTAAAACAGGGAAAGAGAGAAGAGGCCAAGAATAGTAGAAATAATAATATAGATAAAATCTAAGAGGAAATATATGTTATTCAAACTATATTAATATGAACTATTAACTGACCTACACAGAGTAAACAATACAAAAAGGATTTGAAATATACCACAAATAATGTAAATTGGGATGCAAATGATCTGCTGGTAAAATATCAACAAATCACTAATGACACAAATTGGAGCTGAGTGGAACAAAACACTTATAAAAGACAGTTAGAAAACCAAGAACATAGTCATAGAAGTCCTTTATTTTCAGCAATTACATTAAATAGAAAAAATTTATTCCTATGTAAAAAGGAAGCCTGGGTCCTCATAGTTTGTTACACAGATTTCTCAGGACTGCTGTCTTTGAAGAAATCTGCACATGAGTTAGATATTCATGCAACAAAAGCAAAGCACCTTGCTATAAGAGTTACACCAGCTCAGCATCTGCTCACTGAGAATGCCATGTCTCTGTGCTGTACTGGGGAGGTCAGTGTGGGAACAGCTGTAAAACAAGACTGGGTTCACTGTCCACACCCAGTGATGTGGACTATCTGGTCACTTGGAGTCAGAATGCTCTTGCTCTCAGTCTCCTCCAACATCATAGGAAATGTAGATATGCAGTTGGAACAGCCAGTAGACAGGCTGAGGGTGGGCAGAAGAGACACTAAAGGAGTCCAGTACTGACGGTCAACAGACATCCAAGGGTCATTTCTTACAATGGAAGCAACCTCAGTCCACAATGTCCTGGGCTGTAAGGCCCCTGTCTGAGGGTCACACTGAAACCGTGTTCCCTCAAGACACTAACAAGAATATGAACTCTCTGTGGATTTACCTGAAAAATTCACTGGGGATCCTGGACCGAGGTATCAGTCTGCACATCTCCTGATGGGCTTTGAGTCCATGGGGAAACTATTCTGAGGTCCTGGTGCTCTAGACGGGAACTCAGTGCAAAAGGCAGGACTCCCAGGGCTCATTCCAAAGGGTGTCTCCACCATCCTTTGGCCTCTAACTGAGCTTTCAAGAGTGGTACAACAACCTGACTTCATGGCTCCAGAAAGTTCTCTTATGTTTAAAAAAATAAGTGACTAATTATGACACTCTTGTAGTAACTCAAGTCTCAAACTCTGCAGAGTCTAATACGAATGCAATTGAAACTGAATATGGCATCTCAAATTGTCATCTAACAATGTTTAAGTGAACATAATAGAATTAAGTTCCATAATCGATTGTATTTAATTTAATGTTCTATGACATAATCAATCCAATAATGTAGTTCATATTTAAAACTGGAAATAAGTATATTACCTTTATATGAAGTCTTTGGTATATAGTGTGTACTTCACTCCAACAGCACACCTTTATCTGGGCCACTCAAACCAAGGGCTCAGCAGCTACCTGTGACTCTTGGTGGTCATATTGCACAGAGTAGATCTAGAGGGAAGATGTTTAAGTTTGTGTCTATTATCTCAACTCTAGTTTTGTATAATATTGCAATTCCTAGACAGAGCACTAAGGCAAGATGAGGAAATAGAGTAATACAAATACAAAACTCAAAATGTCCTTACTTGCAGATGTTATGATCCTCTATTAAGAGACCCTAAATAACATATTAGAAAACTCTCTGAACTGTTAAGTACTTTCATCAAAGCAATTGAATGCTAAACTTCCATAAAAAGTCACTCTCTTTGTAAATGAGAGTGACTCATTTCTGTGCAGTGAGCCTGCACAGAAACAAATTAAGAAAAATTTCCAATTTACAACATCTACAAAAATACGTGGAAAAACCAAAAACAAGGAAGTGAAATCTCTGAACTGTTAAGTACTTTCATCAAAGCAACCGAATGCTAAATTTCCATAAAAAGTCACTCTCTTTGTAAATGAGAGTGACTCATTTCTGTGCAGTGAGCCTGCACAGAAACAAATTAAGAAAAATTTCCAATTTACAACATCTACAAAAATACGTCGGAAAAACCAAAACAAGGAAGTGAAAGATTTGTACAATGAAAAGTATAAAAATTCCAGAATGAAATTAATGAAAATCCTATGAGATTCAAAGATACAATCATGAATTGGTGAAACTAATATTGTGGAAATAACTATATTCTGAAAACTGACCTACACATTCAATGCAAGCCCTGTCAAACTTCACATGACATATTTCACAGAAATTGAAATAATGACCCTAAATTAAGAGAGACTCTCTAAAAAACCCTGAATAGCCAAGGATGTGAGGCTCTGAGAACATTTCATGGATGGAAAAGGCATGCAGATGACTCATATCTACCAGGATTTGACTGCTTGTAAAATCTGAAACTAAATATTTCCAAAGGGAAATGTGTGCCATTTTTTCCTGAGAATGACAAAATAAAATTCAGTACAGAAAACCAAGGAAGCACAAATAACTACTATTACAAATATATTAATCAATTCCTAGAGTGTCTCATAATACAATGTACAAAATACTCAGCATGTAAATTAAGTTTTTAAAAATTTTAATTTAAATAATTGTGCATGGATAATATGAGGTTGTTCCACTTTACAAAATTCACAAAAGCATTCAGTGTATTTTGAACAAGTTCACCCATTTCATGAAAATTTTAAATATAACTAAATCAAGAAAGAGAAAGAAAATCCAGAGACAGAATTATGTGATAGAAATTTTTGAAATACCAATCTAAATGATGAGCAATTTTAGTTACTCTTGAAAATAGAGGCCATTCAAGGGAAGCCTCACAAATAAACTCATATAGATACAGATATCTGATTTTTTGACAAAGAAACCAAAATCATGCTGGAGAAGACAGCCTCTAATATATGGCTATGGGAAAAATGTATATTCACTTTAAAAAATGAAACTAGACCCCATCTCTCATTCTGTACAAAAAAAAATGAAACTAAGACCCCATCTCTCATTCTGTACAAAAGTCAATTCATATTTTATATGCATCAAATACTTCAATATAAGATCCAAATTTTTGAAACTGCTATAGAAGAACATTAGAAAAACACTTGAAGGTATAGGTAGAACCATGACTATGAATGGGCCCTCAATTGCTCAGGAAAAAAAGAGCAAGAACTGACAATGTGATTACATCATATTAAAAGCCTTTGAACATCAGAGAAACAATCACTACAAAAGAAGATACCATGCCACAGATTGGAGAAAAATGTTTGCAAGGTATACATTGCAAAGGAAAAAAATTCAGACTATATGAATGTGCTCAGAAAGTAAATGCAAAAATGAATGTAATTTAATAAATAGAGACAAATGAAGTATACAGACAGTTCTCAGAAGTACAAAGTTTAATAACTATAAGAAGAAATGTTCA